TTGGGGGTTGTCCTGGTTTATGCAGAACAGGCAGGGCACAGTTTTGGTCCCCTGCAAAAGCGTGAGCCCACTGGTGGAAAATCTCCCAGGCTTCAGGAATCACACCTGATTCTTACCCCCTCAAAGCGGCAAACCATCGTGGAGAAGGAAAGCGACAAGGGAGCTGTGAAGGAGGCAGTGTTCCCACGGGTGGGAGAGAAGACGCAACCATTAGGGGATGGGTGTAGGGAAACCGGGTGAATCCCGCCCTTTCCCTCGTGTCCTCTATGATGAGCAGAAGGAGGGAAATGTAGGAGATGATTCTTTATGGTCTGAGCTTCCAGGCTCCTTTCTCTTTTCAAAAGGGCTTGTAGCAATGTCATTTTGTCTCTCGGGGCTCAGGAGGGCTCCACTGTTTTTCTGGTTTTCAGGGTATGCCCCGGGGTTAACCAAGGGTGGGTGGAGAGCAGAGGCCACTTGGAAACATTGTAGAGCAGACACATCTATCTTACCTCAAAGGAAACTGGTTGATCCCAAGAAACCAACCGGGAGGCAAAACCGGGGGGGGGGGGATCGACGTCTTCCACACGTGCACCCCTCCAGGGGTTTTGCCCATGCTAAGCATGTACAAACAAAGGCAGTGACCCTAGAGGTCATTTGGTGACTGCTTAGCTCACCTCATGAGCCTCTGATGAATACCTACTGTGTACCAAGTTCTGAGGCAGCCACTGGGCAGAGGAGAAGGGCCAAGGCCAGGCCCTGCCCTCCAGAAGCTTGGAGTTTGGTGAAGAGACTTGAATAGCACTGGGGGGTCCCGCCTGCTCTGTGTCTTGGTGAGGCCACGGGCTCCTTGTTTGCCTGCCTGAACTTCGTGGCTCAGCCTGTCACCAGCCAGCCTGTGGTTAGCAAACATCCAACCATTCCTGTTACCTGACTGCCTCTGGGGCAGCTCCTGGTCCCCAGGCTTCCCTAGGGTCCCAGCAAGAAGAGGACATCAGCTCAGATGTCCCCAGGGACCACCTTCCTCTCTCCCTTGATGGCTGAGATCCAGAGAGCCGGGCCTGAGTGAGCTCCCTGGGGATGTGGGCAACACGGGAGGCCAGACAGCTGAAGGTCTTCGGTTTAAGGATTATAAATCCTAATAGTGAGCATCTCCTCTGTTTGAAGAGGGCTTTCATTCTTTATGCTGCAGATAGGCGGGGTTTTGGGTAACAAACCGGCATCAGCACCTACTGGTGGCTGGTGCCCAGATACAGCAGCAGCCAATGTGGGTGAAGATCCTGCATCCGTGGCCCCTGCCTCCCGGGGAAAGGAGCAGACAGTGAATGCATAGAAGGGGAAACTGTTACGGAGGAAAGGAATCAGGAAAGGGAGGGAGGGATGTCATGGGCCTGGGTGGGGGCGGTTGTTATCAATAGAGTGACCCAAGTAGGCCCCACGGGGAGGGTGGCAATTGGAAGAATTTGGAGGCAAGGAAGGAGACATTCAGATATCTGGGAAGCATGCTTTGAGGAAGGATGAGGGCCCGCTGGGATGGGCAAGGGGCCGGGAGTGGCTGGAGGGGGAGAGCAACAGCACAGGAGGACAGAGGAACCCCAAGGCCAGGTCAGAGGGCCCGTGCTCTGGTCAAGGTGGGATTTTGGAGGGCTCTGAGCAGAGGAGGGCCATGGCCTGACTCCCATGGCAAGGGCTCACTCAGCAGCCAGGGGATGCCCTGCCAAGTGGGAAGTCAGGGGAGAGTCCAGGAAGCTGTGCAGAGGCCAAGGCAAAGGTCCAGGTGGGAAGCAGGGGTCTTGATCAAGACACAGGCCCAGGAGAGAGGACTGTATGTTGTGAACAGACAACCTAATACAGAACATGCTGGTGTGAGGGGTGAAAAACAAAAAGAAATCAAGGATAACTTCAAGAGTCGCTGGCCTGTGTACCTGGGTGGATGGAGTTGGCATTAGCCAAGGTGAAGAGAAGGTCTGGTGCAGAGGCGATCAGAGTGAAATCTGGGATACTCGTGAAATCCCCAAATGAGGATGTCAGGTGGGCAGTTGTGTGTTCCATCAGGAGTTGAGAAGGGAGGTGCTAGCTGGAGACGGAAGGCTGGGACCACCAACAGAGAGATGGTACAGCACAGCTCTCAGGGGCAGTAGGCGTGGCTGGAAGGAGCTTGGGGGAGTGGGCGTGGCCAAGTAAGCCTAAGCGTGGGCATAGCTAGAATGCTCTTGTGGGTGGGCGTGGCTAGAACGAGCTGGGGGGAGATGGGCGTGGCTAGAAGAATCCTGAGGCTGAGCTCCCAGGCCCAGGACCTTTGACCCATTGTGCACGGGAGGGGTTGGAGGGTAACTCCAAAGCCTGGAGAAGTCCCTGGTTGGTGGCTGCACTGGCTTGTCTGCTTGGCCTTTTACCGGCTCCCATGGCCTAAGTATGCCTACTTTGTCCTGTCTATAGGGCTTTTTCCTGCTGGGAGCATCACTGATGGCCTAGCAACCAGGTACTACCCAGGGCCAGGGTGGGCAGGAAACTGCACATGGACCCACACGGACCTGTGCGCTGCCAACCAGGCAGACACCAGCATGCTGAGTGTAGCCCCCAGGGCCCACCTGGATTCCAGGTCCAAGGCCACATGGCTAACAGTGCAACATTTGCCATTTTGTACAAAACTGGTTCCTGTTCCCCTGATAAGCTGGGCTGATAAGCGGCAGGTGAGATCAGCTTCCCACCGAACCCCCTGTACCCACTGATGGGTTTCCCAGGATGCTCCCCATGGAAGAACTGAACGGGCTCTCTCCCCTGCACCAAACTCTGGGACAGAGGTTCCAGAAGGGGCTCTCCACTCCCCGTCTCCTCCTTCCTTCTCTCCTGGCATCTCCCCACTGGGTAGCTTGGACTGCCCAGCTGGTGCCAGCCTCAGGTTTTTTCCTGGCCTGCAGTCACATTTCAAAACCCAGCTACCTGGAGATTCTTTGAGATTCTTAAATTCTCGTGTTGTTCTAGAGGAAGCTTTCAGTGTCTTCAATCCACAGTGAAAATTACTGACTTGCAATCCATATATCTGGTTTTTGTTTTGTTTTGTTAGAGCCTGTGACTGGAAAGATGTAGGTCTGGAAGCTTTACTCGAGGGAGGCCATGTTCCCATTAAGGGTTCGAAAGCCCTGCCCTGTGATTTACCAGCCATGCGACCCTGGGTGCTAGCCTCTCCGTGCTTTACTTGCCTCATCTTTAAAATGGGAACAATAACTGTCTCTGGCTGATGGAGTTAAGTGAGTTAATAAATGTCAAGTTCCTAGAATAGCTCCTCACACAGAATAGGCCCTCACTAACCCCCTGTGGCTATTAATATTCCTGGCAGGAGAGTGATGAATGTGGGCAGAGCCCTCCTGCCGGAGCCAGGTTGGAACCAGAGTCAGAAAATAGAAAGTTTTACATTATTTAAGCCCAGCCATTTGCTTCGCAGAGAAGCCTGTGTCACGTTAAACTGCAGCATTAAGGGGTCAGCTGGAGACCTAGTTGGAATTAACTCAGGCAGCACTCTCTCACCTTTCAGTTTAAACAGAGCTTCGCAAGGTGTACTTGGGAGCAGCGTGAATTAAGGTAACCTCATGCTGTGCATGCAGTCCAGGTCTCGGAATTCAAAGATTGTAAGGCAGCTGGACAGACAGGAAATGGGGCATTTTCTGGCATTTTGTTTTCATCTGCAGACAGTAGATATCTTCAGGCGTCTGTCCCTTCCGGGGACAAACGGCCTAGTGGGAGAGGGAAGCAGTCCATGACTTGGGATCTGGGTTCCAAAGACACTGCAGAGCAAGCGAGCGAAGGCTTCAGTAAAGGGAACACATGACAGTTACTGCTGTTTTGAGAAGCAGCTGAGCTTGGGTACTGCCCAGCCCTCCCCTGGCTGCTGGATGGAGGGGGTTTGGGGGGACAGGGGTGCATGCCGAGCCTGTGACCTCATGGTCACACCTCCCCTGGCCCCAGGGACCTGCTTCCTCCCATAGTCAGGAAGCTTACTTCCCTGGAGGGAATTCTGAATTTTCCTGGGCATCCATAAATACAGCTCCCTTTGCCTGCTCTCATTTTTGTCATGTCTGTTCTCTACTGTGTAGAATTCAGGAGCTGAGCAATGCTGGAGGCCCAGGGGCTCCCTCTTTTTTAAGCCTCCATTGGTGCAGGAATGCTGGGGAGAGCGTTAGTGGGAGGTTCTAGTTCACATTTTTTTCTAATAAATGTTAAAACAAAAACATCACTATTAAAATAAAAAATTGTTTGTGTACCCCCTAGGCTCACTCAACTTGCTTCCAATGAACCACCATATTTAGGGACGTGCCAGACCGGGAGGGTTTTTGTTTTGTTTTGTTTTAACATATAATGTATTATTTGTTGTAGGGGTACAGGTCTGTACATCAGTCTTACACAATCAGTCTTACACAATTGACAGCGTTCACCATAGCACATACCCTCCCCAATGTCCATACTCCACCCCCATGTCCCACCCCCCTCCCCTCCAGCAACCCTCGGTTTGTTTCCTGAGATTAAGAGTCTCTTATGGGGGCGCCTGGGTGGCTCAGTGGGTTAAGCTGCTGCCTTCGGCTCAGGTCATGATCTCGGGGTCCTGGGATCGAGTCCTGCATCGGGCTCTCTGCTCAGCGGGGAGCCTGCTTCCTCCTCTCTCTCTGCCTGCCTCTCTGCCTGCTTGTGATCTCTGTCTGTCAAATAAATAAATAAAATCTTTAAAAAAAAAAAAAAGAGTTTCTTATGGTCTCTCCCTTTCTGGTTTTGTCTTGTTTCCTTTTTCCTTCCCTTCCACTATGATCTTCTGTCTTTTTTCTCAAATTCCACATATCACGGAGATCATACTATAATTATCTTTCTCTGACTTATTTCGCTCAGCATAATACCCTCTAGTTCCATCCATGTCGTTGCAAATGGCAAGATTTTGGTTTTTTGATGGCTGCATAGTATTCTGTTGTATATATATATACCACATCTTCTTTATCCATTCATGTTGATGGACATCTAGGCTCTCCATAGCTACAAATATGGAACATTTTATAAATCTGCGTGTCGTCCTTGCACAGGAGTCATACTAATCTTCTCTGTATTATTCCATTTTAGTATATGTGCTGCCAAAACGACTACTGGGCGGGTCTTTAGAACCATCAAACCTCCCTGTTTGAGAAATGAATAAGCTGAGGCCCAGGGCAGCAGAAGGGTACTCTTGCAAAACAGGGCCCCACCAATATTGGCCCGAATGGAATCCTAGTGACCTGCTGATTTCCCACTGCACTGGCCCGGGCCCACCTGAAATTTGTACTTTCTCTCCAGATTCCCAACTCTCATACCCAGAGGCCTCTCTCCCACTCTCCCCAGTCTCCTGAAAGCTGTGCATATCTACTGGCTTGGGTACCTCCTCCCTCATGTCGTCCTGACCATCTTCCTGTGATCCCCTTCTGTCCTGCCCCACCCACATTTACAGATGGCTCTCTGAGACCACCCTGGAGACCCAAAGGAGGAATGAAACCCAGCCCCAGCCTTGCAGGAGCAGCCCTTGGCCACTAGGGTGGCCCTCTGACCTCAGCCTCTGACGTCACCCTCCCAGGGCTGGCCCAGAGTCTTAGGCAGGAAGAATTGGAATTCCAGATGCTAAAGGTCTTGGTGTCTTCTTGTGTTGAGAACCAGACCGCAAGGGCAGATGTCCTCCAGCTTTAGGGATTGTGTTAGAATCTCTGAAGCTGGGGCTCTTTCAGCTGGTCCCAGAAATTAGGATCCATGGAATTCTAAGTGTTCTTTGAGATGTTCAATAAAAAGCAGGCTCTGTCTGTGCTCAAGGAAATATAAGAAACACTGCAGACAATCTTAAACCTGTCTATCATCCATCTATCTATCTATCTATCTATCTATCTATCTATCTATCTATCATCTATCTACCTATCTATATCTATCATCTATCTATCTTATTGAGATAGAGAGTGCATATGCAAGTGGGGAAAGGGGCAGAAGGAGAGGGAAAGAATATCCAGGCAGACTCCTGCTGAGCACTGAGCTCGAAGCGGGCCTTGATCCTACAACCTGTGAGATCATGATCTGAGCCAAAACCAAGAATCAGACATTTAACCAACTGAGCCACCCGGACACCCCAGCACGGCAGATTATTGGTGACTTTTGGAGCATTACAGCTTTATTAGCTTATGTCGACTCTAAGAAATCCTATAGTAGACAAATTCATGTAGCCCAGCATTTCCTTGACTTCTCTGATCACAGAATCCTTTCCTTGAAGAATGCAGCTGGAGATGATAGAAGACCCTGGATTCTATTAAGGTCCTTCAGCCCCCCATATCTCTTCTCCTCTGGTCTGGTGGTGAGCTCTCAGTCAACATTTGGGACAGATTGAGTGATTTTGTTGGTGAAGGGTAACAATTTCTGATAATTGCATGTTAGAGGCCTTCCTTCCCCCTCTCCCATAAGAAAGTTAACCACAGGGGGAAAAAATAAGTTTCTGGCCTCAAATGGAAGTAAACAGCTGGAGCTGATGAATTCCAGAAGTGAATATTCTTTTCTCCTACAAGCATTTGTGAAAGAGAGAAAGAGAGAGAGAGAGACCACAGAGGCTATGTAAATATAATTATTTCTAAGTAGAGTACCTTCAACATTTTCCATTAGGTAGCAGGGAGGTCACTGTGAGGCCAGCTGTCCAAATATGGCTGCTGATTCCCCTGAGTCAGCAAAGTCTATAAAAAAATGATCTTTGGGACAGAAATTTCTTACCACACATTCTAGTAAGTATCTCCAAATGTATGGGATATTAAATTTAGGGCTGTGGTTTTCAAACTTTTTTTCAAAGCATGAAAACCTCTTTTTCAAAGGAAATCTTACTCAAAACTCTTCACACAATCCCAGGCTAGCCCCTGGAATCTAGTCTGGAAAACTGTGGTTTCGAGCCATGCTGCTCAAAGCCTGGTGTTCAGACTAGAAACTTCTGTGTCACCTGGCCACTTGTGAGGAAGGAGTCCAGCATCCAGCCCACTTCAGACCTGCCACTCCGAATCTGCATTTTCACACCATCTCCAGGGGATTTGTGCGCACATTAAAATTTGGGGGGCAGATCTAAAGGGATTTACTCCCAAATATTCTTTCTCTCTTGGGTCATCCCAAAAACCTGGGTGAGGCTTTTGACAATGAGTCTGCAACGAACTGAGCCCAGCTATAGCTCCCAGGAGGGCAAGCCAGCGTGGTGAGGTCATCTTGTGCAATTGAATCTGTGCCCCTCCCCCCCATGGAAACACTGAGAAAAGCTAGGGCTGCTTAGAAAGAGACAGGAGAAGAGAGCAAAGTGGTGAAATGCAGAGACTATGGACTAGAGTTCCTGGGCTTGAACCAACACTACCTTACCTCTGGGTGGACTCTGGCTGGTGAATTAAGGTTCTGTGCCTCTTTGTCCAGTGTCGGACAGGGGTAAGGGATGATGATGATGGTGAGGGTGATGAAAGTATCCATTGAATGAGCTGATGCGCTGGAAGCACCTAGAATTTCTAGGTGCTTGGTCGGGGCTTTCATTCCCAAGTCCGTGGGAGCTTACCCCATGCAAGTGGCTTCCCTTTAAGGAATGTGCAAAGGAGCACCTGGGTAGATCAAGCAAATTAAATATGGGTCACACAAGAGTCACCATCAGGTTCTCTCAAATAATCCCACCACTTAAGTACGATTGAAAGAACAAACACTGCAATCTAAACTTTTTGATATATGGGTAACTTCTTTTTAGTCTTAGATTCAGAAAAATTTATGTTTCTATTGGGACTTTTCCATTTATTATCTCAGTGATCTTGGGCAAGCTCCTACAGCATTTTTCTCATTTTCTGGGCCCAGGGTCAGGGAAGTAATCCCACCGTATCAAGCACACAGGAACCCTGGAGTCTCAGGGGTGTGAACTGACACGCCAGGCTATAAGTCTCAGGAGCTCCCAGTAGAAGCAAATGCAAGGGCCATCCACCCCCTATTCTAGTGTGCACCCCTCCCTCCACCGTGAACACTTTCTCTTTCTTCTATAGAACACCAGTGCAAGTCACCTGCACCCCGGCTTTGAAGGTAAAAGCGATGCCCCCCCACTAGAGCTGAGGGCAGTTTGCTGATGGAGCCCAGGGTGGTGGTTGTCGCACACCTGAGCCGTGAGCCCTGCTGAGCCAGGGTGCAGGACCGACACCAGGGGTCCCATGGAGCTGCATGCCGGGCCACCGTTCAGTAGGGTGATGCTGCCCCCAAAGGCCCTTCTGCATCGCCCTTGGAGCCTCAGCAGCCTCCCTGGTTTTTTGGCACATGAACCGCTTGATCTCAGTCCAGCTATTCGCTCTTATAAACAAGAGAGGGGGAAAAAAATAGAAAAGTCGTGAAAAACAGACACAAAGAATTAGGTCACCCTAGAAATTCTAAGACATCAGCAAAACTCCTGTTGGGCACGATTTTAATTCAGCGACCTCTGACCACAGCAGGGTCTGGGATGGATAGGGTAGAGAGAAAGAGTCAAGAGGGAATGGGTGGGCAGGAAAGGAGGTCAAGGTGATCCCTGGCTCTGGAGATCTGCTGAGGACTTTTTCTGCAGCATGGGGCATGCCGCAGAGCCTTCTGCAGCGGTGGGTGCCTTTGACTTTCCCTTAGATCTGGGAGTTTGGGATCCAGACATAGTAACTGAACCTTTTCATACTCGACATTGAGCTGCCCACTCCCTTCCTTGTGAACTTCCTCCTCATACTTCTGCTTCCTTGCTTTTGATGCCTATTTGGTGTTTGCGTGGAAGGTGGACGGGCACTGTGTGTCACCCCACGGACCCATCTCTCATGATCAAAGCTGGCCTTGCACTCTACAGCAAGGCTTTAAGCCACTTAGAAGACAAGTTTTCCTCTAAATGCATCTTTCCAGAGACAGTCACCAAACACGTGCACCTTAACACAGCAGAATGAATTTTAACTGAGTTAGTAAGAGTGGGACAGGAGGGCATACAAAAGGTCCACTCCTGTGACATGAAAGGTGGCTGGACGAGCCGAGGGCAGCAGACAGCCTATCTCCCAGGAGCCGAGGACAGCAAGAACCAGGACACTGCTATGGATCCTGAGTGAGAAGGAAGTTGCCTGTCATCTGGCTGCTGGAGCTTGCCAGGGAAGGGGGCCCATTGGGGGTATATGGGTTTAACCAAAAAGGGAACAAAAGAAAAGAGAGTCTTGGTGCAATGGAATGAGCCCTGGTCTTGAGACTAGATTTGAAGCAGGTTCTTTTTTTTTTTTTAATCTTGCAATGGTTATCAATTTTTAATGGTTTTCTATATACGACTCTGCTTGCAGTTAACACTGACAAAGTGGTGTGTCAGAAATTTGGTTGAGTCGCAGGACAGGTTCCCCAAAGCCATCCTTTTTTCTTTTCTTAAAATTAATTTATTTATTTTTATGTGCATATAATGCATTATTTGCCCCAGGGGTACAGGTCTGTGAATTATCAGACTTACACTATTCGCAGCACTCACCGTAACACATAATCTCCCTATGTCCATACCCCAGCCACCCCATCCCTCCCACCCCCAGCAACCCTCAGCTTGTTTCCTGAGATTAAAAGTCTCTAATGGTTTGTCTCCCTCCCCGGTCCCATCTTGTCTCATTTGGTACCTCCCTACCCCAGCAAACCCCCTCCCTGCCTCTCAAATTCCTCATATCAAGGAGATCATATGATAATTGTCTTTCTCTGATTGACTTATTTTGCTTAACATAATACCCTCTAGTTCCATCCTCATCATTGCAAATGGCAAGATTTCAGTTTTTTGACAGTGGCATAGTATTCCATTGTATATATATATATATATATATATACCACATCTTCTTTATCCATTCATCTGTTGATGGACATCTAGGTTCTTTCCATAGTTTGGCTATTGTGGACATTGCTGCTATAAACATTTGGGTGCACGTGCCCCTTTGGATCACTACATTTGTATCCTTACGGTAAATACCCAGTAGTGTGATTGCTGGGTCATAGGGTAGCTCTACTTTCAACTTTTTGAGGGACCTCCATGTTGTTTTCCAGAGTGGCTGCACCAGCCTGCATTCCTACCAACACTGTAGGAAGGTTCCCCTTTCTCTGCATCCTTGCCAACACCT